ATGACTGCGCCAACGCGCCAACCTTATCTTTTCCAACTGTACAGCCGGACCGTCGGAAGCGCATGGCAAGCCTAAAAACCCCAGCGGAGGGGTGGTGATGGTGTTGGTGGTGGCGCTTGTAGTGATGGCGCTGGTCGTAGTGTGGGAGGTGGTGGTGGTCGCGGCGATGAAAGGAACATTTCGCTTCACCACACGAGAAACGAGTGAATTGGATAATGAGCCACGCGACGCAATCCACCTCTGTCTCTAGGAGATGTGGGCTTTGGAACAGGTTTCAAACATTAGAAGTCTCTGGAATTTTAATTACTGGACATATACCAGGATATGAAGATGTCATAGAGAAGTTGGTTGTTACTGCAATACTAATCTTCTTTACAGCCTATGGTAATTTCCAATAGAAATCTGGGTCTTTTACTTCATATTCTCTTCAAGCCTTCTTTGTCTTAGGAAAGTTGTCTGATTGCTTGGAATGCCATAGGAGGACCCCCCACCCTGTAATAGTGACTATAAGGGGTTATAGGGATTATATTAGGGTCCTATTATATCCCTATTATACCACAATTACAGGGAGGGGGGTCCTCCTAAGGAATGCCGCACGACATGCGGATTCTGAGGTCCTTCAGAGCAAATGTCACATACATCTGCCGTGGCTCAGGCCAAGGAAATCCAGCACAAGCAGGACCACCTCTCTTTCCATGCTGTGTCACATGTATGGAAGGCGGGCATTCACAGTGGTGACCCTTTGAAGATGCTTCGATTAATGTACATGGGGGAGTTGAGATGGATAGGCTTGCTGGGCCTGATCGTGCAACCGCCAGCAGCAAGCTGCACAAGAGGCAACACAGTGCCAGTGCTTATATCAGGAGTTGTGCCATACTTTGGGTCCATTTTGCCATGGTGTTTATGTAAAGTGTATAATTCTTGTAACTCCCAAGAAGTCACAGGTGCTGGTACAGTAATCTGGTAATCATTGCCACACTGATTCGTGACGGCAATGGGTTGCCGAAGGAACCCTGGCCTGCCAATCCTAATTGACACCCAACATGATATGGAATTCCTCAAACCCTAAACCCTAAACCCTGATGCTTTCCCCGAAGCCCCAGGCTGCCTTGCTGTTTCGGGATGCAGGAGCTTCCTAAATCAGCATAGTACTGCGGAGGTGTCATGATGTACTTGATGTCAAAATCAAAGTTGGATTGAGTGCCGACACGTGCCTAGAAGTTTCAATGTGATCTTTGCCCAGCTCTCTTTAACAAAAATCCTGCAAAACCTTAACTCCTGACCCCTAAAACCCCAGATCCGAAGACCTGACCTTTCAGCCGAACTTCCTAAGTCTTAAGCCCTAAACCCCTGGAAGCCTAAATCCCACAGTCTAAAATCCTAAGCCCTTCAAAGCCCCTGCATCATGAGCGCCCCTGCTTGCCTACACTACCCCTCTAAGCTTCCCCCTAAATTAGACATCCTTACATCAGCGCAACTAAGGAGAAGCCTAGCTGGGGTAGCAGAAGTTGGGGGGTCAGAGTTTAGGGTTTAGGGGTTTAGGGTTTAGGGTTTAGGGTTTAGGGTTATAAGGACACATTCCATGAACACGCATCCCACCACACTAAACCCTAAACATTAAACCCGAAACCCTTAATGGGAGAGGACTCCGGAGTGGCACTTAGCCTGGAAGAGTTGCGTGGGAGCCTTGGGGACTGTTGGAGATGTGAGGCATTCAGGCATTCAGGGCTTGAGGTCTAGCGTGTAGGGGTTAAGGTTTGAGGTTTCAGGTTCAGGGTTTAGCTAGGGTTTAGGTTCTAGGGTCTGGGGTTTTGGGGTGCAGGCTATGGAGTGAAGGTTTTTAGGTTCTGACGTGCGTAAAAGATGCTTGGGTTTGATCGGTGTTACATAGAGGGTTAAGGATGCTCTCAGGGGTGACAAAAAGACATCATTTAGGGATTACTATGATTATACTATAATATTGGGGTTATAGGGTATAAATTGGGGCTATGCGGGGATAACGGAAAGAACATGGAAACTACTACAATGGGGTTTAGGCTTTCGGGTTTCGAGGGCTCTGAGCTTGTTTTGGGCTCAGGGTACACGCCCATCAACGCATCAGCCGAAAAGCCTGAGTACGACGTCATCCCCACCTTCCCCCGTACCAACATGGAACCCCATGTCAATGTAATGTAGACCCCCGATTCATAAACCCTTCCCCTCAATGGGGATTAATGTAGGGATCCTTTAAAAAAGACCTTTGAAAGGAGGGGGTTCAATAATCATGGGTCTACATTTGCCAACCCCTGAACCCTAACCCCTATCTCTTTCATAACTTTTTTTTGGGGTGGGGGGGCGGGTTCCTTCCCCTAGGGAGGCTAAATCTGGGCCCAGGCAAGTCCATTGCTGCGGAAGCTACGGCCAGGGAGCTTGCGTTTAGCCAGCTACACAAGGACGAGGGCTAAGGGCGATTCAGGTTTAGGGTTTAGGATTTCGGGTTCAGGGTTTAGGGTTTAGTTGGGGCAAGGGCTAGGTTTCTGGGTTCATGGGTTCAGGGTTCAGGGTTCTTGTCTAGGGTAGGGAATAGGGTGTTTAGGGTTTAGGATTTAGGGTGTTGGGGGTGTAGGGATGCGAGTTTAAGCATAGTGCCAAGCAGGGAGTGTTCAGGGCATCAGGGTGGGCTCACCCGCAACTTAGGTCAATCCACCAAACAGTAATACGTAGCCCTTAAACTCTATGGCCTTTCAACCCTTATATAGCCATTATATAACCACTATATTCCTAGGTAGTTCCCATATTAGGCTCCATAAGCTTCAAGGGTCCGTATTAGGGGTCCCTCCTAAAGTCCCTAGATAAACATGGAGTTAATAGGGCCATAGTATACCTACAGTAATCTTTCGGGGTACCCATTACTGGGTGGGGGATTGACCCAACCCGCAACACAACATCCGGAAGATAGAATCTGGCTGGGTTGCTGTCAAGGGACCCAATTTAAGTTATTATATTGGGGAAACCCTTCTAATTACCGTGTATATATATATATGTATATATATATATATGCACCCCTTCTGGTATCTTGTTTTAAGTTCCTTAACAGCAACCCAGTTGAGGGTTGCTGATTTTGCAGGGGCGCGCCGCTGTCTTGCCTACATCTGCAACCATGAGCTCAATGAAATCAGTACCCCAAATCCGAGACCCAAGACCTAAATCGTAAACCCTTTTTTTGTAACACAAAGGCGTCGATCAAAATCATATAGGAGGTTGTGTGATATCAGTTGGTCACGGGGCTTGCTCAGGGTGCAATTTAGAGCGTTGGGGCGGTCGTTCAGGATTTAGGACTTAGCAGTTGCCCTGGCTTGCTGCCTTACAAGCGATGACAGCCTGGAGCCAAAACAACCTCTTGAGGACTTTCAGAACGATGTGCTAGTCAAAGAAGAGTTACTCAGCGCTGCAGGGACCTCGGATGATGTAAGGGGCCTTGCCTGATGGATTTTAAGCTGCGATGGCAAATTAATAAGCACCGTGGCATGCCTTGGATGCTGCCCCCACTCAGTGTCAGTTCGAATGTTTTAAGCACCTCGCATTCCCCTCATTTTCGTCAGTTTTTGGTTTGGGGCCCCTAAGCCCTCAACCCCAATCGTAAGGTGTCAGCGGCAGACCTAAGGAAAGGGCTGCCCAGCCAAAGAACAATGTTCGAGATTCAGGCTCTTAGAAGGTGTTGGCTCATTGTTTAGGGCTTCGTGGGTCTAGGACTACAGATGTTGGAGGGAAGCCGCAGGCTGTATACCGTGGCTTCAGGTGGAATGTTGCTTTTGCAGCTGGCCAATCAGT